ATTTGATTTTTTGGGCCTTTTTTCGATAAACTGTTACATGAAAATTTGCTTCTATGTGATGTTGAAAAAGTAACAAATAAAGTACTTATTACAACTAACAAAATAGCTTTTTTAACGTCTAAACTAGTTAAAAAACTAATAAAAACTAATAAAAGAGCTATGCTAAGCCATAGAAAGAAGTACTTTTACCTTTTGTTGAAATATTTGGGTGTTTGAGGATGGGTTAGGCATTGTTTGATGGGTTGGTAATTAACAAGAGTAAATTCGGAAGCTAATTTTCAAAAAAATGGTCTTTTTAACTTACTTTTAGCTTATAACTAAATACATGAATTTTGTAAATTTTTACATACTTAATTATAAATGCAAGGCTAGTTAAAAAGACCGTTTTTGTGAAAATTCGCTTTGCAATAAATTTTCGAGGAAAAATTTTTTATAATCCTCGATCATGATTGGCTGATTTTGGGGTCAAAACAAATCGGCCGATATGTTAAAGAAGTTTTTATTACAGTCAGAGGATTTACCGAATTAGGAAATCGGATTCTAAAATGATCTACATATCGATTCTTGAATTTGATTGGCTCTTATACACCTTTTTGCCAGCATTTTTTGGGAATTTTTTATTCTTCGAATTCATTATTAAAAATCCGAATAAAAGCACAAGTAGACGATATAAGACGTCTAGTTTAATTAATCTACAATAATCCACGCGAGTTAGTGCTTGTTAAAAAAGTAGATGAGACCCGAAATCTGCGCACAAACGGAAAGGTAAGAAGGTAATCTTGATCGCAAATTATATGCTTTTAAGCTTCTTACCTTTGCGAAAAGGCTAAGCCGACTTTCTCTAGAAGTAAAAAAAAGAGCTACCCTAAGAAAGGATGTCTTTGTCCTGATATAATTATATCTTCATCACGATCTACTGATCTAGCATACATCTAATAGGTTTTTTAAGATGCCATGCGCCAACTACTAGTGCCAGAGAAATACTCCTTGTTCCTTTTCACCAAAACCTCCACCAATTCCTTTTACTCAATATACAATTTTATTGGCATCAATACCAAGTACTAAGGTAATTACATCCCTTTTACTCGATATACAATTTTATTGACATCAATACCAAGTACTGAGGTAATTACATCCCTTTTACTCAACATATAATTTTATTGGCATCAATACCAAGTACTGAGGTAATTACATCCCTTTTACTTGACATATAATTTTATTGGCATCAATATCAAGTACTGAGGTAATTACAATTTGTGTCTCAGTAGGATTTTGAGTTGATGAGTGAATTTCGTCCTCAATTTTTGGAATTATTAACATAGCCTGGGTCTCCAAATAGAAATGTTCTAAGACGATTTAAATAAAGCTTAGTGCATGATGCAGAAATTATATTATTTTTTTTTCATTGCAATTTTTTTCTTTGTAGATCTCCATTTTATACACCCGGACCGGTAGTGCTCCACAAATCAAATCAAATTTTGAATTTGATTCAAATATTTGAAATTATTTGATCAAATTAATTAAAAATTTGATCAAATAATTTCAAATATTTGAATCAAATTCAAAATTTGATTTGATTTTGCGAAGTACTAATAAATTATAAGTAGATAAGTAGTTTGTTTTTTTGTCCACTTTTTTTTTTTGTTTTCTTATTCCTCATTACAACTGATGCTAAAACAATTTCGATCTTTTGTAGTTTTCACTAATTCTTGTAGTTCTTGTAGTAGTGATTTGACTAGACGGTGTTCTTGCTGATTCGACGGCCAGGTTGGGCACCGATCTTGAAACTGTCATTGTCATTAATTCTTGGAATCGTCGTCGTAGTTGGTGTCAGGATCTATTCAAGTGTTTTTGGTGGTAAGGGCCATTTCTGGTATTCGTTGTTTTGATGTTTTAGATTATAGATCTATACAATTTATCGTTCGTTCTTTAGGTTTAATCGTTTTGGCATTCTTGTGAATGTAGATTTTGCTGTTCGTAAAGGCTCTGCTGGAGTCTTTGTTAGTATAGTCTGGTTGTTGTTTTCACTTCGGGGACCTAGTGCTCAGGGATGGTAAATGACCTGGTCATATTTGATCAAAATTTAAATGAACTTAAGTCATCAAATAATAACCAGGTCATTTGGATTATTAGGTCATTTAGGTTATTTGCATATAAAGTAATTTTATTGGTTGAATTACTTATAAAAAAGTTATCGAACTTTAT